GTCCATCTGCCAGAGCGAGAATATTGCAAACTCTGGATAACAGCTGGGATATTCTCTGCACGTTAAAGGTGCTAAGGCAGTCTTTTCCACTCTTCGGGTTTTTCTGAGGTAAATCAGAAAGCACGGATGATGTAGCAGCCTAAATGGGAACATCAAAGTTTACCTGATTTGAGAAGATCTCCAACTTGTCAACTGAAAATAAAAGTAACAAATAGAACTACTGCTACTAAAAAGATGACAAATGCAGTATAGGATTCCCACTCAATTACAGTCACCGTTAGGTGAACTGGAAGTGAGTGTACGAAAGGTTATTCTCAGCTTTCATCCTGGTGCGCTTATTTCTCAGATTTCAACAGAGCTTTCCCATCTGGCCATTGAGATTAGCCTCCCATTTACTATCTTTCTTCACTTCCTATTGTACTTAGAAAACAGCTGGCCCAATGCGGTGTCACTGTTTCCATGAGTTAATGGGATTTTCTGCTGTCAGTGAGCATGAAGTGTATGCTATTCTCTTACACCTACATAAGACTCTAGATTTACGAGGACATCCTGCTGGTGTTTTGAACACAAATAGTAACAATGGTGCAAGGATTCTGCTCTTTCCCACCTCCCTCCTCAGTAAATGCACCATTATGTATACAGCCTTTTCCTTTCTCTTGGTACTACCAAGCTATTACCATTAGCATAAGCTAAGAGAGAAAGATCCAGCATACAAAAGCATAACTAAACACTTCCACAAAAGTGGGGAAAGAGGTAAGATGTTAAATTGCACCACAGGCACAATTTGGGCATTTTAACTTTTATATTCCACTCCTTTCTTTCCTTTTTCGCTTGAAGAAGCTGAAAAAATGATGTTACTCTAATTTTTTTTATTCACTTATTTATCTCAAGTAATAAATTGCAAAGTGTATGATAACTGCTTGAAATTAGGTGGTTGTATAAACCTCTGTATTAGACAAACTTCCACATTTCAGATTCTAGTCTGGTAAAGAACTTAAGAGAAAAGGCAAATGCAAGTTTCAGAGCTTTCCTAGCTCTCAACTTTTTGGTCAGGCATCCTGACTTGAGTTAGTGAAAGTTTGGCCTGAGAAGGGAAGGGGAGAACTGTGTACTCAGGGCTTGGCAAGAGTATAAGTGCTGCTGAGACTAAAATTTCTTAAAATATTTTTTCTAAGAACATATTGCACAAAACGTAAAACACCAGAAGATGAAACATCTTCACAATATGCCTTCTCCATTCTACTACTTCTTTCTTAATCTTCCTCCTGTAAACAAAGTTCATGTCTGAGTATCTGAATCGTTTTAAAGGGCAGCTGATTCTGGCATAGAAACAGCAAGTTTAAAGAATGAGAAAATAGCTGTTTTTATCTGTATACAATGATTCAAGGGTCAAAATATAAAGTTTTCCTCATTGCTTCCACATAACATAAAGTGAGAAGGCAAGGAAAAAGTTCACTTTTTTGAGGATGGAATGGGAGACAATACCTCATCCTACCTCCACATGTTAGACTACAGTTATTTTGGAATATTTCATTATGTGTAAATATAATCTTAATCTTCAGACTACAATTACACTTCATTATTTTGATTTAATGCTTATGCAACATTTTATGTTTGCAAGTTGTTTCATTGTCAAAAACAATCCACTGTTAAAGAGCTGGGTATGTACAGCTGAAGTCCACAGGAAGTGTCTAAGTAGGACTTAGTTGGTAATGCACACTTGTATTTCACCCTGTTTTAAAACAGTGTTACCAATGCTGTATATAGCAACCAGGAACTCTGTTCATTATAGTTTTTTATGATGCTTACAGTGCTGTATTGACCTGAAGTTATACCTTGATTGTCTGTGATTCTTTGACTTTATCATATTTCTTTTTCCACCTGGCAGTTTCAAGCTGCAGCACGCGGTTTCGTTCTTGGTCTTTAGCGCTTCGTTGCTGCAGCTTTTGGTTCTCTATTCTGAACTCATAGAGCTGCTGTTGCATTTTCTCCCTTTCAGCTTGTTCATTTTCAAATTCTACCTGCAGAATTTTAAGCTGAGCAGCCAGCTTGTTGTATTTGGATCCCAGCTGTTGCCTTTCTGCCAAGCTGCTATCTTTTCCTCCCTGAAATTTTGTTTGCAAGGATAGAAACCCTTTTTCTGTATTCGCTTTCTCCTCCCCTAGCTCTTGCAGGGCTGAAGTGACAGTCTCAACCTCATGTTCCAGTTTTTGTTTGAGATGCTGCAGTTCCCTTATCTTTTTTTCTTTCCTGCATATAATATGGTCGCTCTCCAAATACTGTCTCCTAGATTTAGTCCTCAGTTCTGTCTCATGCTCCTTTTGAAGAAGACAATACGCAGACTTTAGTTCCTCTACCTGCTGCAGAAGAACTTTTTTTTCAGTCACAATTTCCTCAAGATGTTTTATGGCATTGGATAAAACTTCCTGTGTGACTACCAGCCAATTCTTAGCATCATTTTTCTCTTTTCTGACCTTGCCTTTTCCTTCTCTTAGATCTTCAATATCCTTCTTCAGCTTGTTAACACTTTCTTCAAAATACTGTTGCTGAACAGTTTCTGTTTCTAATTCTTTTAAACTGGACTCCAAGGAAATATTTTCTGAATAAGAATCAATGGTTTGAGCTGGCTCTTTCTTCTGATTCTGCTTCATTCTCTTAGTCACTTCATCCAGACCTAAATCCCCTTCCCTAGGCAACAGTTTTTCCCTGTCTTTAATTTTCTTCTTCAAAAGCGTATCATCACACTGAAGATCTGTTTGTTTTTGCTGGCCTTGCTCTAGCTGCTTGGTGACACCACTAAAGTTCATAGCTTCCTCCTGAAATGATAGTTTCTCCAAGTGGCACTTGGAATACTGTGTGTTACACGTATTTGATGATGCTTCACAAGGGCTTAGACAGGGGCTCCCTGTTTTATGAGTGCAGAGGATCACTTTATCACTCATGCCTCCTTGCTTATATTCTTCCTTAGGAGCAAATGATGTCTCAGAATGATGGCGTAAAGATTTCTTATCAGCTGTAGACACTTCCTGGGGGAAAACCACATTCTGACATCAACTAATTAGAAAAATTATAGCTAACATGATTTGATAGTCAACTATTCAGAGAAAGCAGAAAAGCAGCTGAGAATAAATTTGAATAAGTTTCACTCACAGTGTTATAGTACTAGCAGAGTTGCGTCATTCTACTATTACAAAACAAGGGGCGACTCCCTTCAGTCTATCAGTTCCATTTATTCAAACTATTTCTTCTTTAACTTCAGTGAAAATCATGAGCCCATGCTATAAAATGATAAAAAAACAAGGAGCCTACCCTCCAGCAACACCTACAAGCCCTTGCACCTGTACCAAGGGGAATGAAGCCTACATATGCAGCAGTTCTGACCTTAAAGCAAGAATAATAATAAAAAATAAACTACAACAACAACAAAAGATTAAACTATTTGGTAAATCACTTGATTGTAGAAAATGTGGAAGGATGAATATTTACGTTAATGCAATAAGACAAATGTTTTCCAGTGCTCTATGCAGCAAGGTGTTTACTGAATTTCCAGCAGATTGGCAGAAGGGAGATTCTACTCATCTGAAAACAGAGCTAGAAGGCAATAAATTCTGCTTGCAGTATCCTGACTCATTCTTTTGGATGGAGTGGGAGAGTCAGAATCCTATAGTACCTTGCATAAGAGGGTTTAGGTTTTTTTTTTTTTATGAATTTGCTAGGTAATATAGTAGAGCTAATCATAAACAGGAGTACATTTTGAACCATAATCTTTTTAACTGCACTTATTTTTTAAATCAAGCTAATTGTAGCTAAGAAAGATATAAAATAAAATAAAATAAAATAAAATAAAATAAAATAAAATAAGGAAAAAGTATCTTACAGACTCCAGAAACTTTCTGTGAGCACTTCCTGTCTTGGTGTACTCAATTACACAGTTCTTCATAGTTCTTTTCACTTCTCTATTTGACTGCATCAGAGCTGGTTTATTCATAACATTCTCACATGAAGAATCAGGAGAAAAACTATTGTTGCTCTCTTCACAGGTGTTTGCAGGGTCAAGCTGTTGATCAATGATTGCCTACAAAAACAGAGCTGGCATTTGTAAGCTGAATGGGAACTCAGTGAAAATGTATTGCCTCTTTCATTCAGAACTCAGTTAATTTAAGGTGTGAGTCTAATACCTGCACTTGATACTCTTAACACTTCTCCTTTATCTTATGCATCGGAGGGGTATAGCACTCACAGATAAGGTACTGCAATAAATATACATGTAATTTAAAGAACTGCCACTAGCTTCATCAGAGAACAGTATTTTCATTTAAGCTTCTATGCAAGAAACAAGAAATCTTACCGTATCTCTTTTCGGACTGGGAGCTTTGCCAGCCAAGTTCAGATTATCCTCTCCAGAAAACTGTCCCTCAATACCAAAACTTGGATATATCTTAAATAGGGTGCCACGAGGTTGAGTGAGAAAATAAGATACATCTTTTATGGGGGATTCTTTAATAATACAGTCCAGTAGTGACTCCCCTATTTCTGCAAGTGGTTTTTCATGAGGAGATACAAGGGACTTAACTGATAATTGTTCTGACAGTGAACCTTTTTCTTTCTCAGATTCCCACAATTCTTTTTTAATGGTGTCTTCTTCCTTTGTGTTTTCTTCTAGCCAGCTCAGTATTCTCTTTTGATGTGCTGGCTCTTCTTTGCTTATGGATTCCTTCTCTGGGAAAAACATCGTGTTCACATCCGAAAATTGATTCCAGCTGGTTCTACAGAGAGGTCTGTTGCTTTCATGGTACGTGTTTCTAAGATTTGGTGACATTGCTGTTTTCTGTAAAGAATCTTGAAAATGTGTATAGAATCAAAGAAAGAATTAAGTTTCTTAGAACTGTATCAAAGAATATGCATGGAAATAACAATACAGCTCTGTAGTGGAATTACTTTGTTTGGAACTTAACACAGTACATGAATTATTTGCCTCTTCAGTATATATCATTATTTGATCAGGAGACACTTAGCCAAAACATGATGCAAATACATGAATGCTCACATCACGATTAAAGTGCCATATTAATTTCTCTCCTATGTACACATGCCTCTTCTGTTTAAACTGGTGTATGTATAAAGTTGGAATTCAAGCTACAGCATTGGAATATATGATGTGTTAAGTGGAGAAAATCTGGCCTCTTAAATGTGCTTATGTACAAAGAGAATCAAAGTGGGGGAAAAAAATAGGACTGCAAAAAACGTGCAGGTTTAGGTTTACTCTTAATGTCAAAGACAGCCAAAGAATTTCTTCTGAAAGTCAAATGAACTTGCCTTGCTACTGATCTTTATCTTGACACAAGTCATTATAGTTTGAATGAAGTTGAAGGGCCTGAGCTTAACTGAAGCCTCATGTGAGGGGTGTGTGTAGCCCCTCACAGCTCTTCACGCTGTGAATTGTGCCAGCTTTCTTGAATCGCTGGCACAATTCACAGAGGAAGGACTCAAGCAGTGGAAAAATGTTTCACTCTAAGTTACATTGGCAGACTGGAAGGAAACGGCATTGGTCATGACAGAGTAATTCTAAAGCTGCACGAGTGAACTGATTGTTGATTTTATATCTTTTCCTCGTATGATTCCCGTGAACTGCTAACTTCTACTCTGGCATACTTAGGGAGAGATAGTTTTAAAGTCATTATAACTCATCCTTGCTACATGGTAGCTGAAATCGCTTCTCATGTTTAACATCACCAACAGCAACATACCACCTGTCAAATTTTCTAAGACAGGCTTAGGAACATGGGCTCCTTCACAAACTTGGCAGGCAGCGTCTTTTCCTCCCTTTGGGTTCCACATTTCATCCTGCAAATATTAAAAAAAAAAAAAAAAAAGGAATGGCTCATGGCCCTCTTGAGGTGCTTTTCCCAGAGGCTCTGATTATGGTGCATTTCAGCTCCCCAGCCGCAGTATATGTAGTGTATTATATATGTATATGTATTTTTTATGCACTTTATGGAAACCCAATGTAAGCAAGCTTTGTAATTCTTAATCTGCAGGAAAGATAATTTAAGATAGTCATGGACAAATTAAGGGAGGAAATAGTTTTTTCAAGGATGTTTTTGTCTGAGGAGAACTGTGGAGCTACAGTCATCCAAGTGCATAGGAACATAGAGGCCTATATTCACAGAGAGTAAGGACTCTAACTGGTAAACCTGTCACCTCTTTTCACGTGCCTTGTCATAAGGTGGCTGGCACATGGAACTCACCTGCTGTCCTCCCTCTTCACTCCTGCTTGCACAGTGATCAGTAAGGAGTAGAGGGCCTTAAGTTCCTACTTTTCCTCAGTGTGATCCTACAGAGGATCCTACACACTAAAACTGTCACCGAGGGGAGGGCAAGCCTTGCTGGGGAGGCAGCACTGGGAATAACCCAGAATCCTGTGGGTCTGGGTGTGCAACAGGGCCACTGGCTCAAGTCCTGCCTGCCCTCAAACAAGATGAACTCTACGCTGCCTCTGCTGCATTCATTTTCCAGCTAAATAAAGGCTTCCATTTGTGTTCACAATAACAGGCCGTGATTGGGATTTCTAGGTGATAAAGTAAAATCAAAAATAACTCAGCAGTCTGTTTTCATATGGGCTCTACCTTTTCAATTACAGTCACTGTAAGCAACCCCCTGTCCTCTAGTGAGCAGTAATGTATTCTTCTCTGTCTTACCACCTCACACCCCTTTCAGGGAGACACAATATGCCCTATATTGTAGGGGAATGTATATTAAAAAGTATAAATTGTATAAAAAAGGGGGAAAAGTTGCTCTAGAAGCTTAAGTGAAGATGGGCCTTAAGTAAAGCTCTTGTGTACACACCTCTGAAATGTCTGAAACAGTCGTGTTGCTGTCCGCATTCAGAGACTCTCGATGGTTTGACTGTAGAGAAGCACTGCAGATGGAAATTAATTATTTTTACAGGTTTCTCAGCAGAAGCATCTCTCTCTTACTGCCTTCCCAACAATCATAGTTTTTTTTTTTTTTAAACAGCCTTTACATTTAGCACTTAGATAAGGGAAGAACATCTACAAAAAAAAAATGCACTTTCTTCTATAGTCATTTTGCACTGGAAAATACAAGCACAATGCTCATTTTTATTTTCTTAAATCTATTTTATACTGATATATAAATGGCGGTGGCTGTTTGCTCAGTTTAATAGGCATTATGGTTACTTAAGATGCTTCTGTTGAAGATGGAAAATTTGAAATTCCTTTGGTGTCAGTTTGAGTTTTGTGTTAATAAAGATTTGACTGTAATGTTTCAGAGTACAGTAATATACAACTCTATCTCTAAGGACAGAGATGCTAAATAATGCCTCACAAAAGCAGCCATGAATCCACGGCCCTAATAGGAGAAACCAGTCACTTCTGGCATGAGAAAAAAACAAGTTGAAGGTGCACCATTATTAAGGATCTCTGTATCCCAAGTAAGTAAATTGAATAGTTATCATGAGCTCCACCACCAGGGTTGTCCGTTTTCTCCTTGTAGTACTTGTGAGAGCGACATGATCTGCTGTGACTTCTGCAGGGTTTAAAGTCCTCTTTCTCAGGCTGCTCTTCCCCTTCCAAGTATTCGCTGCCCCAAATAACAGCGATTTCGTGGATCTTCTGCCCTGATTACTAGCACGATGTCCCCACAACCTTGTGCGTGCGTGCTTGGGGAAAGTAGCAGAGAGAAGGCAGAAGGCTTTCGGCTTAACGTTCGCGTATACCGGTTAGAGATGTATCTGGACGCCATGCTCAGTCCGCGAGCGCGGAGCAACGCCCGGCGCCTCGCACA